TGGCCAACAGTCACTACAGGGACGTCATCCTGGCTCTCCGGAACCAGTGGGACAGTCAGGGGCGGGCGCACAGTGATGGCCACGCTCCATGCTGCCCACTGGGGGGCCTGCCGCTGTTCCACGCCCTTTATAAGCATCGACGCACTTAATCCTCACGTCTCCATGTAAGAGGGGAAGAGTCTGAGGCACCAGGGAGTTAAGTGTTTAAGCTGCTGAAGGTCACCCCTGGTGGGAAGGGGAGACCCAGGACGCAGAGGCCTTACGTCAGACTCCTGCAGGGCCGTGTCTGAGGGAAGGTGACCAAGGGAAGCCCAGACATCTGAGGTTCAAAGAGGGGAAAGAACAGGGAGACGTGGCTGGGAAAATGTGTGGTCAGGTCCCCCTGCGGGGTCACATGGAGGCTGAAGGAAGCTGGGAAGGACCCAGCCAGTGGCCAATGGCACCTTGAGTTGGGGCTTGGCAGAGTCATGGGACCAAGTGGGGAGAAAGGCCTGGAGCTCAGGGATGAGGAAAGAAAGGCAGGAGGCGGCTGGGAGGACAGCAGGGGCGGAGAGGGACCTCACCCTGGTGCCATCAGAAGCCGAGACAGGGGCAACATGACTCACCATGCGTGCTTTACAGAAGGGGAGGCAGCTGGAGCCAGTTGCTGCCAGAGTCCAGTGACAGGGTGGTCACTGTGGTCAAGAGGAGGGAGGGGCCCAGGCCAGGCTTACCTGCATTTGGCGTAGAATTGATATGCAGCTTCGCACGGACATCTCCAGCTTTCTCCTGACACCCCTAAACAGTGCCGGAAAACACGCACAATCTGGCACACCGGTTTCGCTTTCAGTTCACGACCTCTGCGAAGGGCCACAGGGAGAGGTGATCTGGGGTGGAGGGAGGGTCCCCTCCTTACGATGGGAGACACTGGAGCACCTTTTGCCCCTGCTGGGAACAATCCAGGAGAGGGGGAGAGATGGGTGACATAGGACAGTGGGGAAGAAGGGGGAAACAAAGTCCTTGGGGAGGGAGGACGGTCAGAGCCCCAGCATGTGCGGAGGGAGCAGAGACGGGCCGTCCGCCACCGCGGGGGCGGTGGGGGGCCATGGGGCTGGGTGGCGAGGCCCCGCCTCCTCAGGGAAGCAGGAGCCCAGGCCAGCTGCCGAGGGTGGGGCTGGAGGGCGGGGGTGTGGGACAGCGGAGCAGCCTTGAATTAACTGTCTCCGAGAAACGCGCGGAGCCGTTCAGCTGTCCGGTTTCACAGGCAGTGCGCCCTGCCACCGACTGGGAGGTTAACCCTCACAGGCCTCACCGCGCCCACCTGCGCTCTTGAAATTGCTTCTTCCACGGGAAAAAACCAGGACTTCTTGAAGCAATGATTCATTTCAGGTCAAGGAGCAGAAAAAGGACAAGAGGAGCCGGATGCTGTCCTACCAGAAGGCGCAGAACCGACCGAAGCCCAGGGGGCTGATCCAGAGGATCAGGAGGGCGCTCGCGGAGGTCCCCAGGGCCGGGGCGGGACACTTGGAACCTCGGGGCGGCTGAGCGTGTGCTGGGCCGGAGCACGTCCAAGGCGCTTAAACGCGAGCATGAGATCATAATAAAGTACATTAAAAAAAAAAACACACAAAACTACATTAGTTGGTCACCATAGGAGGATTTTAATGAACCAACACGCTGAATTCATAATAACTCACTATTTTGAACTCTAGTCAAGAAAGGAAAAGAATTCTATTCTATCTGCTTTGTGTTCCCGGCGGGCAAATCAGTAGTAGGTGGGAACTTTCTGTCCATAGAGTTTAAGCTCCCGGTGGAGGAGGCAGCGGCGACTAGGGCGTAAGTGTCTGGGGAGGGTTGCGGATGGCGCCCATGACCAGCGGCAGCTGCACCGCGAAGAGGGGCAGTCAGACGGGCGCCCCCTGGCGGGAGGACACACCCGCACCCAGGAGCAGAATCTGCTCCGGCTTCTCTGACAATACAGAGGGCGAAGGAACGCGGAGGGACACCACAGGGACACCACGCAGCCAGTCGTCTGCGGGGGATGCTGGGCGTGCACCCCAGTTGCTCAGCAAGCGAACTACAAAGGGGAAAACGTGGAGGGAGGGAAATGTGTACTTATGTGACTCACACAGACGGTGTAGAAATGACACGAATGAGATGATTGGAAATGTGAACGCTAACCGAATAGCTGATAAATAATTATTGTTTAGAAAATGACGCCAGTGTGCAAGGCTATGCAATTTCTCCAGCAACGTTAAGGACCCAGGAAGGGCGAGGGAAGCCGCTAAACCAATCCTTGGGTGGCTGCACTCGGGTGAATGAATCCATTAATGAAAGAGCTGAGAATACTGGTTTCTCGCCTTCTGTTCACAGTGCTGTGAATATCTAATGAAGTATGTGTAAAAAAGTACTTCGAAAAGCTATGAAATTTTATTTAAAAATTTGGGCTGTTGATGGCGCCACTGCTGTCCCCGTGTCTACACACTGGGCACCTTTCTGAGTCCTCACTGTCCTCTTTGCCTCTCACGCTGTCAGGTGCCCCCTGCCGCCCTCACGACCACTGAGCTCTCCCCTCTGTCTTTGCCCTCTGCCCTGACAACCCGCTGGGCCCTGGCCCCCCGTCCCGAGTCCCCACAGCCAGGCTGACTCTCCTGCAGTGGCTGATGGGGTTGGCCTTGCCTTCCTTCCCAGCCCCCTCCCTCCCACCCCAGGGGCGCGGTGTCCCCAGACTCTCCCCACTCAGATGGACCACCTGTCTCCCCAGCCCGTGCTGGTGGGTTAGGCATCAGAGCTGAGCTGACTTTTTTTTGTCTCACAATCAGTTACTTTCTCCATCTGCTAAATGCACCCATGCCTGATGACCCTCTGCCTGTCACCGGGGCGTGTCTGTCTGGATGGTGCTCTGTCTGCGCGCGCCCGTGCTGACCGTACCCCTCCAAACCACAGGGCCGCGACCTGAGAGCCCAGCAGGCCCCGCGCTCGTTCAGCCCATTCCCAGAGAGGGGAGCAGCGCTCGGCTCCCCCGGCCTAACATGCACACGCTAACGCCGCTGAAATCAGGGCACAGCCAACAATTTAATTGAATTGTTTAATTGGCGGCATTTCTTCTCCTCAGTGCCACATAATATAATGGTTCATCTTACAACTGATTGTCTTAGATTCTATAAACTGCAAAGCTCAAGTGCTGGTCTTGACTATAGGAAAATTTCTAAAATAGGTTCAACATGCCATTGTGCAGAGCTTTTAAGTTCAGTGACAGTAGGGAAGGCGGGCAAGAGGAAGAGAGATAAAATTTAAAAGACTTAGTTCCCTCCCTAAAATCTTATACCTAATCTGGGAAACAGGGTTATGAGAAAAGAAAACAAAAACACTTCACCAGAGAAGAAACATCAAAACAGTTCTGGAGCGACACAGGAGTGAGTGGGAGCTGGAAGGCGAACCTGTGAAGCCCGGCTTGTAATCCAGGACGGCTCCCTAGGAGAAGGGAGCTTGGAGCTCAAGGGAAAGGAAACGTCCGCCCAAGCCTACCCTGTCTCACGGGCACACTGTAATGAAGAAGTAACATCTCCATTATAAGAAACTGTATATACAGCTCACAGGCATCACTCCTGGGAAACTCACCAGCTCATAACTGAGTGTGTGAGCACCGGACAGAAGGCTGGAGAAGGATTTGCATCTCTTGCCAGTTCACATGTTTATTCACGGCATCATCACCTGGTCCTTCCCGGTCAGCCCTGCATGTCCGCCGGGGCTCTGCTCCTTCCGCAACATGCCCAAGAGGCTCGGCTTGACCCACAGTCGCCCTTTCAGTGTGAGCAGATTGGGGTGGGAGAGGAGCCAGGCTGCTTTGGGGGCCCTCGGGCAACACCCCATGGAGGTCTGTTGGGGGAGGGGGAGACTACCCAACACACCCATCACGAGAAGGAAATGAAACCTCCAAACCCACCCAAAGGGTGATTCCAGAGAAGCCTCCCCCGAGGCAGGTGAGCCAGACGGCTAGGCTAGAACCCAGTGCTCAGAGGGGCCCCGCCTCCCTGTCCTTAGCTGCGAGGTCATCCTGGGCTGGGCCGGCACATCGGTGGACGATGCTCGGACACATGCCGGTGTCCGCACAGGTGAGCACAAGCTGGCCTGCTGTAGCATCTGCCCTTGAGTCAGGGACTCTACTCAGCAGAGTGGGAGGGGCGTGCGAGCTGGAGGGGAGCGGCCCCCCCATCGCTCCCCGCCCACCAGCACCTCCCAGTTGCCCCGGCTGGGCTCGTTACTTCCCAAACTTTCAGTCCTTAACTCCTCTGACTCTACCCGCACAAAGGTCTAGAGACAGAAGCCTCCGTCTCCCCGAGACAACACGCCTTTGATCTCCATGAAAAGCTAGTAAAACGCAGCACTTAATCTTGCACTTTCCCCTCGCCAGGCTCTCACCAAGCCCGTGACGCGAATTAGCTCCATCCTCCCCTCAACCTTACGAAGTAGGTAGTTATTATCCCGCTTCACCCGCAGGGCAACTGAGGCACAGAAAGTTGAACTGACCCTCCCAGCGGCGCCGAAGTGGACCGGAGAGGCCGGCGCCGCACGCGGGCGGGACTGGGAGGGCGGCCGCCGCCCGCAGGCTCCAGCCCCTCCGCGCCAGCCGGCCGCGCTGCCCATATAAGGCCGCGGCGTGCGTACGGGTTTCAGGCTCATTCGGGCACCCCGCGGCCAGCAGCCGCCTCCGCGCCCAGGAATGTGTGGCATCCGCCTCCCAGGCGGCCGCCCACCGCCCGGAGGGCTTCCCCGCCGCGCCGGGGCCCACGGCTAGCCGCGACCGAGCCGGCGCCCGCCCTCCCGCGCGCCCGCGGCGTCGCGCTGGGCCGGGCCTCGCCGCTGGGGGGAGCGCGGCGTCCGCGCGGAGCGGGACCGGGAGGCGGAGGCGGCGCGCGCCCTCACCTGCCCGCGGCGGCGAGGCGAGGCGGGGGAGGCGGAGGCAGAGGCGGTGCGGAGGCGCCCGGGAGGGGCCTGCGCCGGCCCAAGCCTCCGCGCAAAGTGAAACTCCAGGAGTTGCGGGCGCGTGGAGCGTAGCGTCCACAGTCCCGGGGCCCATGGCTCTGAGCAAAGGGCTGCGGCTGCTCGGGCGGCTGGAGGCCGCGGGCGACAGCAGCGTCCTGCTGGAGGCGCGCGGCCGCGGGGACTGCCTGCTCTTCGAAGCCGGCACGGTGGCCACGCTCGGTGAGTGCCTGCGACCTGGCTGCGTGGCCCGGAGCTAGGGCCGCGCCCCCGAGTCTCCTGCCCGGTGTGGGGGGCCGGTAGGGGAGGGACACCCAGAACAGAGGACGCTCGGCATTGCTGAGACTTAGAGACATGGGCGCCTCCCTTCCCCGGGGTGACCAGTCCCGGGCTGGGCGGAGACCGCCGGGCGTGAGGGCGCGGGGCTGGCTTGTTTGAATGAAGTGACACAGGGGACGCCGAGAGCATTGGGTCTGGGCCCAGAGCGCGCCGGGCGCGGGGTTCCGTTCTTGGAGAGCGGCCTCTGGCCTTCGGTGCCCCGCGCTCCGCCGGGACTCGGCGCAGATTCCTGAGGGTCGGAGCGGGCTGACGGCGGAGCCAGCTGGCCCATGTGCCTGGCGCTCTCGTCCTTCTGCACCTGTTGATGAAGCCCTTTGGTATGTGTTGGCTGGCTTCACTCCCAGAGGGGACAGGGACAGAATCGCCGTAGCACAGACTCGGAGAAACCACCGATGCCACCTTTGTGTGTGTCACTGCTACCGGGCGCCGCTGAGTTGAGTCGGCTTTCACTCCCGGCGCCCTTGTGAATGAGTGATATCCACGGTGTCCCGTCTTCAGCAGCCTGCTCGGCCTCAGTAGTAGACTCGTTTCAATGGCTTGTTACGGAGTCAAGCCGTCTCACATTTGGTTTTCGTCTTCCTGCTGATGGCGCCTTTGCCTCATACAAGTACTTGGCACGGAGGCGTCAGTGCGGCGAAGTATAGAACTTGAGGCAGATACACTTCCTGACGACTCCGCCTTCAGGGTGGGTGTTTCTGAGTTAGATGCCAATCCGGTGTGTTTCATATAGGGCTTCAGGAAGTCTTTAGGCTGACACTGTGCCAAGGACTTAAACGACAATCTCCTTTATTTTCACAGTTCTACAAAAGAGCTGTTATTATCCCCATATTACAGATGAGTAAACTGAGGCTTGAAGTGGCTAAGAAAATTGCTTGCCCAAAGTGGCACATCTCTCTACCTGCCTCCTGTGTGGCTATTCTGGAATCGCTGACCCGGATCCCTTGTTTTGTGGCTAACGTTCATCATGAAGGCCTAGGCAACACCAAAGGGAGCAGAGCCAGGCTAGGGCTCTTAGAACCTCAAACTCTAGGCTTCCAGCCGGTGTCTGGCTGTAGCATCGTCCCTTGTTTGTAACTGAACGGAGGATGGTCACTGGTCCTTTAGGTGGTAGATGACCGATCTATTCAGTTCCACTCTTTATAAATGTCTCTAGTCTTTTGTTCACATTTGTATGCATTGCTGTTTCAATTAGTATCTGCTTCTTAGAAAAACCATCTCTTCTGGTTCCACTTCCCTAATAATTTTATTAGCATACAGTTATAGGGTTGTTTTCCATCACTCGGTTTCTGAAATGTCTCCCGCTTTGTCAGAACCACCAGTGGGTAGCAAATCATGGATTAAATTATTATCAGGTTATTCCAGTTTGCACTTGGTCCTGAAAAGTCCAAGTTTGTTCATTTGCTGAGGTCTTGTGAGAAAATCACAGAAACTTCCAGTCCATTTTAGATGTCCACTTCACACTGCATTTATCAGAGCTGAGAGATTAATTTCATGGTACAAAACTGTTCCTTTATCAAAGAGATTAGACTATCCTTCAATTGGATTACAACATTAAGCAAGATTCATATCCATTTCAGTTCCTTTGAAGCCACTTGAAGAAAGAGACTTCAAAAGCGAAGATTTGAAAGTGATGAAGGAGAGTAATGTCACGCATATTTTCAATTTGGGAATTAAGTTGGGGCTGAGATGCATGCACACTATGTTGGTGATCACAATACACTGGATTCTAGAGCCAAGACTGTAATAAGAGGGCTCATGCGCCCCCACATTTGTCACGTAACCAGCATTCATGCAGACCTGGGGCTGAATACTTCACTTTTAAAGTCCATTTTTCTAAATTAAGTACAACTATTTTTTAAAGAGCAGCTGTAGCATTCAGTGGTACTGCTGGTCCGGAGAAGGACGGCAAGAAGCTCGGTTACTACCAAGTTTTTGTCTCAAACTTTTGAAGTGTCCTAAACATGCCCGATCAGCCAGGCTGGCTGTGTACTGGGAGTTTCTGTCTGTGTCCCAAAGGCCTAACTTTTTTGCTTGCCTTTCTTTGACAAGGTAGAGAATGCTCTCATTTTTTCCCCCTAAAATGTTGCAATTTCTGCTTTTGTGAGCAACTGTACACCTGTGTCCGCCCGCATAGCCGGCGGTAGAGTCCTGGCTGGTCACCCTTTTTGTGAGGGTCAGGGCTTGGGGCAGCTTCCTTTTTCACTTCGGCTGTGGTCCCCTGGGGTGGGCCTCCCCAGTGAGGAATGAGAGGCCAGGGAGGCTTAAGGGGAGGGTTTCCTCCTATGTGGTAGTGGCTCTTCCCTGGCCACGAGTGGGCCTCCGTCCTGTCCTGCCCTGAGGCAGACGCACATCGCGGCTGCTTGTCTGGGAGGAGCAGGAGAGCTGGGGGGGCGGGGACTGAGAGCCGGCCCCCAGTAAGCACAGCTCTTCCAGGCCCATTGCACCCCACAAGAACCCCAACCTGAAAGGCCTCCCTGTAGAAGGACTCGCCCTTGCTTAGTGTTTCCAGCAGTGCCCGGAGACGGTCAGGGGCTCGAACTGGGTTGTGAGTTTAGGAAGAACAAATGACCCTCGACTGGTCGGCCGCTGGGCCTGGCCCTTCCTGTTGCAGCATATCAGGCCATCTAGCCAGCCAGCCAGGGAGCCAACGGAGGGTGCTTCCCCGTCCCTGCTCCTCACCGAATTCGCTGGGGAATCTACCTTCAGGGTGGGAACAGGAATCCCAGAGGCAGGAAAGCCAAACACACCGGCACCCATTTCAGAGGTTTTTGGAGAGTTTTCCCAGTGGCCTGATTGACTGGCAGAGGCGCCTCAGGTGCCGGTGAAAAGCACAGGGCGCAGCAGTACCCCTTGGCCCGCAGCCCACAGTGAGGGCACAGCAGTTTCCTTGTGTGCCCATGGGGACAAAAAGTGCTTGCTGTCCTCCTCTCTGTCTCTTAGACATAGTGTGGACAAGATGAAGGGAAACAGCCCATTGTTCACGCGTGGCACCCACCTCCAGAGCCAGCACCGATGTCTCAAAGTCCAGTGTTCTCCCGGCAGCCCTAGGAGAGGCGGTCTGCAGTGGCCTGCGTTTGCACCTGCGTCTGTGGGCGGGGGCAGGGGGTGGGAGGAGGGTTGGGAGACCTCACAAACAAGTGAGTGTCCCCAGACTCCTCTGAGCTCCTGGGGGAGAGTTCCCATGTCAACACTGGGCCTGGGGTTTCCCAGCTGCTGTTTACATAGAGGCCCGGTATGGTCCTTTGTTTGAATTGGAGCCACGCAAGGCTTCCTCTGAACGGTCGCCTTGGTCCCTTTCCCTGGCTCTGTGGCCCGGGTTTGTTTGGTCAGTGACTTGAAGTTTGACCTGTTTGAGAACACCTGAGCGAGTCAAACAAGCCGCTGTTCTATCATTTCTCCTGGGGAAAGGCTGAAGCGCAGGCAGGCCAGCTGGGCGCGCCAGGCTCCTGTATGTGGGACAACCGAGCCACGTGGCCTGAGTTCAGGTCCTTCCTGTTGTAGGTTCGTTCAGCATGATATTTACAAAAATGCAGACTGGGTTAGTGTGGGCTTCTACCTGTGGTTTTGGTAACTCGCTGGTAGGAACGTGATTCCAGGTCTTGCCGGGATTCTTTTAGAGGCTTTAACCTTTAATTGCGAAAATTTAGAAATGTGCACAAAAGTGAAAGGAAAAATTAATTCTCATGCACCCGTCACTCAGCCTTCATAATTATCAATATATTTCATATCTATGTTACCCACACCTATGCTTTTTTTATGAAAAACGAATCTCCTAAAATTGAGTGGGTTCAATGCCAAATAAGATTGCCGTTTGGCTGGGCTCCCCTCCCGCCCTGTCTTGCATCTGTGTGTGTAAGTTCAGGGTTTACTTGACAGGTTTAAATGTGACCAGTAGCAGCAGTGCTGGTGTGAGTTGATTCCGAGGTTCTGGCCAAGACACACTTTTGAAAGCGAAGGGCTCACATGGGAAGAGTGAACTGCAGCCTGGAAGAACAGGCTGTCCCCTCCTAGGGGACACCTTAATGGGCTCTGAGGAGACAGTCTGCTCCTAGACCATGGCCAGAGGGACCGGGCCCGGTGCCTCGCACCGGAAGGAGGAGTGGGGTGGAGGGCCGTGCGCCCCTGCTGTTTGTGCGCCCCCCTCTGGGCCACACCCCAGGGACACAGGTGCCAGCCTCAGGTCTCTTCCCAGGGCCCCAGCGACTGTACAGTGAGGGTGTCCGCTCTGGCCCCGGGAAGGGGGTGCGGCCAGGGTACTGGGCATGGGAGGAACTGAACACACACTCAGGTGTGTGCACGAGGCTCCTGCCAGGGTGGGTGGAGCCCGGAGGGCGGAGGGTGGTGGAAGGACACTGGGCTGGGCTGGGGCAGCTCCCCACACTGGCCACGTTCCGGGCCGGGTCCTCCAGTTCATCGCGGGGCTGTGCTTCTCAAACTAAGAGGAGAGAACCTGTTTTGTTTTATAGTTTTTAGCTCGATCTAAAATGTAAAAATAGTTTGACATGCAGGTACAGGGCTCCAGGGTGATGAAGACTGTCAGGCAGCAAGCGTTGGACTGCTGTCATCGAAAGCCTCCTCGAGTCTGAGCGGAGCAGCCGCTGGGTGTCTGTGCCGGGCCCCCTGCAGGGATGCATCTCCCCGGCTCGTCTGCCTGTCCTGAGGGCGGGGGGCGGGAAGGGCCTTGGCCACGTGGGTGGTGGATGTGTGGTGCTTTGCACCCGAGGTGGACGCTGCTCCTGTTCTGGGCCCGAGAGTGTGCCTGGCCGAGAAGGTCAGGTGGGTCCGGCCAGGTCCGGGGGAGGCGCAGGCAGCCCTCCGGGCGTAGGAAGCTGGCGGGTTGCCATTTGCAGGCACAGCTTCCTGGTTCAGACGTGACTTGGGGC